TGGGAAGATTGAAATGGAAACATCTGTCTTATTAACCTGCCTTTGAGGAACAGAGTAGCCCCTTGATGGTAGCTCAGATTATGCTTATTATTTACCCCACAAGAAATTGCTGCTCCCTCTCTGTTCCAGGTGCCATTCCAGGCAATCAGCAATCAAAGAGGAAGAAAGACAAAATAACCAGACCTGCTTCTGGCCCTTAAGGAGCACACTGGGAAGGATAGGAGAATGAGTCAGTACCTGGGAGCAGTGTCACAGGTGCTATGATGGGCGATTACAGGTTGCAGGGACAGGAAGCACCTGGTTCTGGCTCTCCTTCCTGTGGCTCAGGTTCTCACTCCTTCCAGAACACATCAGGCATCCTGCTGGGTTTGCCCCAGGCCTCCCCTCCCCGGGGGCTTGCGCTGACCTGCATGAGGAATAAAATGAGCAGGCAGTTGTCCAGAGCCCTGGCACAGGGCTGTGTCTGCAAGACTATACAGCACAAATCAGCCTAGGGTACAAGGCCCCTGGGAGAACAATTTGGCCACTTCCACCTTCCAAATCACAAAACAACAGATTTGCAGGAAGCGCTGTTGATGCTGAGAAAGCCTATCAGGTTCCAACCTGGAAACTTGTATTTGTCTTGCAAATATGCCTTTGAGGTACAGCAAGAATCCAGGGCAATTAGGGATTTTATATTATGTGCCAGCATTTCCTGCTTGCCTTGGTATTTTTTTTACTACTATTTATTAGTTTCTGATTTGTCATTTATAAGTGTGTATTTATATGTATGCACATGTAGCTATGCATAGAAACAAGACTGAAAAGACAGACCAGTGGCTTTCAGTTTGGATGGGAGGGGGGCAACTGGAGCTTCAAGCAGGCCTGTTTATGTATACATCACCTTTCTTTCCCCGCCCCACCCCACCCCCGGTCGTCATGCTTGCCCTTCCCCTTTGGATAGAATACGCATATGTGTATTTTAAAAGCTCCCCAAGTAATTCTGATGTATGCCCCTCCCTATCCCA